TTTTAGAAGGGTCCATGTGTATTCCTTCCTCGCTTTCCACGTGACCTAGGAAAGTTACTTTTCGAATCTAGAATTCGCACTTGGAGAATTTCGCGTATAGGTTCTCCGCTCTTAGAGTTTCCAGCACTAGCTTCAAGTGATGTCTGTGATCTTCCTCGCTTATGGAATAGACAAGTATATCATCGATGAACACGATTACGAAATTTTCCACGAAAGAACGGCACACCTGATTCATCAGATCGATGAATACCGTCGGTGCGTTGGTTAGACCAAAGGGCATTACTACGAACTCGTAGTGACCATATCGAGTCTGAAATGTTGTCTTAGGAACATCACTCTCGTGGACTCACAGCTGATGGTACCTTGATCTTAGATCTATTTTTGAGAAGTAGCTGGGTCCTTGATGTTGGTCGAAAAGGTCGTCAATTCGAGGAAGAGGATAATAGTTTTTGACAGTTAGTTTGTTCAGTTCGCGATAGTCGATATACATCCGAAAAGATCCATCCTTCTTTTTCACAAATGAAACCGGGGTTCCCTAGGGTGAGCAACTTGGTCTGATGAATCCTTTGTTGAGGAGTTCATTGAGCTGGCTGGATAGCTCTTGCATTTCTGCTAGCACTAGGCGGTAAGAGGTTTAAGCTACGGAGGTAGCTCCAGGGATTAAGTCGATGGGAAAATCGACTTGATGTTCGGGAGTGATTCCTGGAAGCTCTTCGGGAAAGACATCAGGAAAGTTGCAAACTTTGGGGATGCTCTCGAGGTTTTTAACTTTTTGTTTCTCATTAATGACATGGGTTAGGAATGCTTGGCACTCCTTTCCCATAAATTTTTGGGCTTTGATGCACGAAATGATATGGAGGTTTGAGCTGAGGTTATCGCCATAAATCATGAGGGTTTCAATAGAGGGAAGATTAAAGCGAATAGCTTTTTTGTAACAAAGGATATCATCACGATTGGGGGTTAACCAATCCTTGCCAATGATGACATCAAAGCTTTTTATGGAAAATGGCATAAGATCAATAAGAAAGGAATGATCGTTCAGGGTACGGGTATAACCTACGAATATGTCGTTAATGCTCTCTTTCTCACTGTTAGCCATCTCATTGGTAAAAGTTTCGGTTAGAGGTTAAGGTTCATGTTTAAGTAGATGTTTGAATGCATGACTAACAAAACTTTTCTCCACACCAAAATCGAAAAGAATACATGTATAAGATTTGTCGAGGAGGAATGTACCCATAACAATGGTAGGGTCAACAACTGCCTCTTCTTAACCCATCGCTAGCACTCTCCCTGTTCGGCCAGTTGTTGATGCCTTGGGGCAGTTTCTCTTTTAGTGCTCGACCTCACCACAGCCATAATAGGCTTGATCAACACCTGCTCCAGAAGCCTGATTGGTTGGTTGGACTGGTGCCTTACAAACTCGAGCTGTGTGCCCCTTTTTTCCACAGTTGTTGCAAAGCATTTCACGGCATGGGCCGGGATTATGATCGTAATCGCACTTGTCGCACCGAGGTAGGGCACCAACATATCTACTAGTAAGTGCTTGAGTTGCCGGAATAGAGGCAGGAGTAGTAGTAGCATGGACTGCCACAGTTTGTTATTTCTTTGAGGGCTCCTACGAAGACTAGCCCTTACGCTGCTTCCGGAACTTTCTCTTCCCATGACTTGCCTTCGTTGGCTCGAGAGCGACTACTGCTGCAACAAGATCAACCTCATGATCTATGAGAGTCTGCGCCAGGCACTTGGCACTATCAAAAGTGGTAGGCCTAGTAGCCAAGACGTTTCCTTGGGTTAGGGTGTCAATCCCCATATGTACCACTCTATTTTCTTGCTTTCCGGAGTGACCATTCTCGGACAGAGGAGAGCTATATCACAGAATCTAGTTGTATAGGAGGCATTGTCAGAAGCCTTCATCTCTAGGTTCCAAAGCTTGTGCTCCAGTTTCTGCATCTCGTTCCTTGGGTAGTACTCCACGAGCATAATTTCCTTCAAACTTTCCCAACCCATGGCGTTTTCCACTAGCAGGGTTAGGGATTTGACTCGACTATTCCACCGGGTCAGTGCTCTATTTGTGAAGGTATAAGCAGCAAGCTTCACCTTGTTTGCTTCAGAACATGCACAGCTCTCGAAGACCGATTCGATCTTCTCGATCCATCAAGTTAGGGCAATGACACCTCCATTGCCATCAAAGGGTTTGGGCTTTGCGTTCATAAAATCTTTGTAGGAAAGCTCCTTCTGGTGTCCCTGGTTTCCGTCGAGATTGAGGGATTGGGCAGCACTTCCCGACCCGCTAGTGCCACCAGAATTTATCTGTGACATTGTGGCATCCACCGCGGCAATAACAGCTTCTTGAAATATACCAAGATCAAACTGAGGAGGTCGTGGAGCTGGATCTGTTGGAGGGTTGTTGTTCTTCTGTTGGGTCATTTCTTTGGAGGCATCTTGTTCTATAAACATCCAGGAAGAAAAAGATGGTAAGTCTCTTAGACTTTTGAATCAAGAGATATGAAACAAGATATATCTCCATCTGTTAGATAAAGTGTTCTACTAAGCGAAAAACAAGGAAGGGTTACTAATACAAGTAAACGATCGCTAAGAAGGAATAAGTAGCAACACTTGGAATGAATCTCTACAATGTAGTTGGCTCTGACTAAAATAATCCTACAGTATTTTAAGTTGTATGTTTTGTTCTGTCGTTATCTCGTTGTATATATACTTGGTAAGTTTTAGGCCTGCTGCAACACCACAGTCACTCCCAAGCATATGTTAGTCATGTCTCGAATAAATATAGTTGATCAGGCTATATTGACCCTAGACATGATTACATAACTGCCCAAGTTTAACCGTAGTGTCCAACATCCAATTACTATTGATTTGTTCTACTTATGATGCAGTTTCTTGTATGTAGGTATACTTGTATACTTCTTGTAAAATACTTATATTTTAAAAGTAAACTTTTAGTTTAAAGCAGCTTAGCCCCTTAGTGTTTATATTTGTATACCTTGTAAGGTTCAGTATACTAAGTTCACTATAAACAAAAGTTCTAATACCAATCTGTCACACCCCCGAACCGTCAAACAAACGGCGGACATGTTCGGAGGTGGATGACGTCATATGTAGTATCACAACAATTTCATCATAGTAATCAAAGTAAACAAAACCATTACAATATAATGTGAATATTTATAATGTTGTTTGGTATAATTTTGTATGTATATCAAAAGTAGCAAAAGATAAAGACGAGACTCCAAAATGCTCCGTCTTCTCCAAAAGTTGGCAAGGGTACCTGTCTATTGTTGTCCTTAGAATACAAACGATTTTGAAAGCATATCAGCATAAATCTGGTGAGTTCAGAAGCATGTTTTTGTAATGAAAACTAGTCACTAAATTTGTATAAATGTTTGTTTGACTGTTCAGGGGTGTGACAGTATTTTACCAGCACAACAGACAAAAATGGATCCTCAAAGAAGGTTGGGAATATATGTTGGTTATAAGTCAATCTCTATTATAAGATTTGAAACCTTTAACGGGTGTTGTTTTTACAAACACTCGTAGTTGATTACCAATTTGATGAGGCAAATTTCCCATCATTAGGGGAGAAAAGAAGAATCTAGAAAAGGATGTTTCATGGCATGCACCTTCTTTATCATAGTAAACCTTATCACAAAGCAATGTGAAATAGAAGTTGAAAAGATAATTCATTTCCAAGAAATGGAAAATTAATTGTCTGATGCATTTACTAATAGAAAAAGGGTGATTAAATAATATATACTAGATGTTAATGTTCCGGCTCGAATTGACATTCCATATGGACAATATGATGATAAAGTCACTTAAGAGTCTAAAACACGCTTGAAGGATGGAAGGGTGTTTGGTTCTATGTATAAGAACCCAGGAAAAAAAAGAGGAGTAGAAAATACACTAGATCATGAGGAAAGTATTATTGGGTAAACATGAAATACAAAAATTCCCCTAGGAAAGGAAAATGATGCACTAAAGTATGTTTAAACAAATAGAATATGTGACCAAAATGAAACTGATAATATAAGTTCAATAGTTTCTTATTCAGTTACATGTGATATTATGAATGATGATCATGGACTACAATATGTCATTGAATGTCAAAGAAAAAATGATTTTGCTAAATGGAAGGAGGCTATGCAGGTTGAATTAAATTATCTTAACAAGAGAAAGGTTTTTCGGGTCACTATCCTCACACTTGGAGTTGTAAAACCATTAAGGTATAAATGGATCTTCATACAAAAAATAAATGAGAAAGACTTAGGGGCTGTTTGGCAGGATCTCAATTTTTAAGATCTGAATTTTTAAGAGGTCTGAATTTCTAAGACGGTCTGAATTTTTAAGATCTGAATTTTTAGATTCTGTTTGGTTGGAACCTCTGAATTTTTGTGCTGAATAATAAAAATGACCATTTTACCCTTCTCTATCATTTCTTTCAACTACAACATTGTACTTCAAACTTTTCCATATAAGAGCTCGTACTTTAAAAACTATAACCACTAATTTCACCAAAAAATCATCAAAACTCATAAAAACATCAAAATTCATTAAAAAACACTAATATTTTCATTTGGTACATATTAAAATTCATTAAAAAACACCAATCCTTTCATTTGGTACATTCATCAAAATTCATTAATTTCTTCACAAGGTCTTCTTCATTTGGTACATATCAAAGCCAACAATTACACATTTTCCACCTGTTCTTTGATCATGGTATCATCAATTTCATCTAAAACCTCATCATCTCCAATCTTTTCAACCTCCTATGTGTCACTCCATGTTTACCTAACCCATGACACCAAGTCCATGTTTCATATTCTTTCCATGAACAAAGATTACAAAATAAAGCAATTCTAGCGGTATTGGTCAAAAGGGGAGCCTTAAACATGAGTGATTATTCACTCCTATATTATTGAGATATATAAAAACTATCTCAGTCGTCCGTCCATCCATTCTTATCTCATGATCTCACCTCATCATATCAACCGGGTTGGGTTCCTAAGAACCTTATTATTCATTCCAATTCTATACAACTCCAACTCTGTTTCTGGACTCACACAAACCTCAGTCCCTGCAGGTGCAAAGTAACTCATTAATCTCAGGGACACTTTCAAGGACAACATCGAGTTCCTATGATCATTAATCACATCACAGGATTCTTAATTTGAGTATATGTATATATATATATATATATATATATATATATATATATATATATATATATAAGGCAAAGTTTAAAAGAAATTGTTATAGGAAATACCTCAAAAATAATAAACCCGCATAAGGCTTGGAATTGTGTTAATGCTAGAGCCATTTCAGGCTTATGGATGGGATTGTATTGACAATGATCGACCCACTGAAAGGACCTGGTTGTACACACGTGTACTTCTTCTATTAATAGTGGACAAAATCCGAAAACGAGTTCGATTTTCAAAAGAAGAAAAACATACCTGCTGGGCAGAATCCGAAAACGAGTTGGAGACGGAGGAAGTACGGCGGCAGTGGCGTTGTCGGGTGCAGCGTCGTCGGTGATTTGGGTGGGCAACGTTGTTACATAGGCATCGTCGGATTCTTGGTGGTGAAGAGAACTAGACACGATTGGGAGTTGACTTGAAGGGAAGAAAAGAAGAGGAGGCGTTTTATCAATCGTTGTTTAGGGCAAATAAGGAACACGTCCATTCTTTAATTTTTCAGACTTGGTTCAATAGCTGAAAAAATAAGAGGTAATTATAGTTTTAAGATGTAAAAAATAAGATGCAAACAAATGATCTGCATCTAAATTTTTAAGACATTGCCTCTTAATTTTACAATTAAGAGGTAAACAAACAGGGCCTTAATTGTAAGATACAAGGCCAACCATGTGGCTTAAGGTATCTCTTAAAGATCGATAATTGATTATAAGGAAACTTATTCACCGGTAATACATGCAACCAATTTTAAATATTTAATTAGTTTTGCAGTCTTTGAAAATTTATAGATGTGGCTTATGGATGTTGTTACAACTTACTCGTATGGATCACTTGATAATGATACCTTTACGAAAATCCCTGAAAGATTTAAAATGCCTAAAGCATTAAGTGCAAAACCAAAAGAAATGTATTCTATCAAATTGAAAAGATCTTTGTATGGATTAAAGAAATTTGGATGCATGTGCTGCAATCGCTTAAGCGATTATTTGACAAGAAAAGAATATAAAAATAACACTATTTGTCCACGCATATTTATTAAGAAAACAACATCTAGGTATGTGATCATAGCCTTCTATGTTGATGATCTAAACATCATTAGAACAAATAAATAAATCCTTGAAGTGATTGGACTTTTATTAAGAAAACACATCTAGGTTTTTGACCTTTAAATCTATTAACTTTTTTTTATTTTGATTATATATATATATATATATATATATATATATATATATATATATATATATATATATATATATATATATATATTGTCTTAGTTTGAAGATTGAGCATATGCATGAAGGAATACTTGTGCATCAATCAAATTACACATAAAGTGTCTTGAAACATTTAAACATGGTCAATGGCAATCCTCTAAGCACCCAAATGGTTGTTAGATCATTAAATATTGACAAAGATCCATTTTGTCCCCGTGAATAAAGTGAAGAAGTTCTTGGTCTAGAAGTGCCATATATAAATTCAATTAGGGATCTTATGTATCTTACGAGTTGTATTAGACCTGGTATGTCTTGCTCTATAAACTTGCTAGAAAGTTCAGATCATCCCCAACAAAAAGATATCGGAATGGGGTCAAGCATATTTTGTGATACCTTCGAGGAACTACTGATTTTGGGTTACTTTATCCGAATGATTCAAAACAAGTTTTGATTGGTTATGCATATGCAAGCTATTTATCTGAACCTCATAAAGCTAGATCTCAAACTAGATACATATTCATCAACGGAGGGACTTTAATTGCTTGATGTTCTTAAAAGCAAACAATTGTTACCACATCCTCAAATAATGCTTAAGTAATTGCACTAAATGAAGCTAGAAGAGAATGCACATGGTTAAGATCGATAAGACAACTTATTTTGTCTTCATGTGGACTACATAAAGATAAATGTCCAACTTTAATTTATCAAGATAACTCAGTAGGACAAAACATATACCTCTAATTTTTTTAGTACATTCAAGAGCTTATAAAAGATCAAAAGGTTGAGATAGAATATGTTCAATCTAGCAACAATGTAGCATACCTCTTCAAAAAATTACTTCCTACTACAATCTTCCAAAAAACATGCACATGCCATCGGAATGCGACATGTACATAGTACGTAATGTAACAGATGTCTAAATAAGGGGGAGTCAACTATCTACTGCACTCATTTTTCCCTTAGTTAAAGGTTTTTCCCTCTAAGTTTTCTTTAACAAGGTTTATAATCAGGCAGTACTTCAAGGATGAACTCAGATTAGAAAAATTATCATCTAAGGGGGAGTTTTAAAACTTACATAAAAGTATTGAGTTAGACAATGTATATGGATGAATAATTTTCACCCTTTGAATAATTTCCTTTTCCTATTGAATAACTATTTAGGTGATGTATGAATAGGATGTTATGTAGTATATAAATACCCATCGAATGTAAAGAGAAAATCACCCCAACTTGAATACAATCTTCTAACTGTTCAAGAATCTACTCATTTATAACGATATATATATATATATATATATATATATATATATATATATATATATATATTGTGACAATTGGAAAATTCCCGTCACCAACCATCACTAGAGATTAGCACCGACAAAATGATGATAATAAACTTATCATATTTCAGGAAAAATATAATTGGCTAGATAATAATAATAAGGTCAAAAATGAGTGTCCAAAAAGTTATATCACTCTTAATAATGGTTAGTGTATTTTGAAAGTACACAACAATGTGATCCCAATGATATAATTATTGTAAAAATCCAACTCTGATTGGAGGAGTTATGATTTTTGTAAAAGATATAGATCAGTCGCGTTAATAACGCTATTAACGTCAAAATGACATAAAAAATCAATTGAGTTTTCGCTAATGTCACTAAAAGCAAAATTGTAGCATTCTGAGAGATAAGGACAATGAAATAAAAAAAGGTTCAAAAACGGAGTTTGTATGAAGGAGATACGATTTTTAGAAAAATATAAAATAGAAGTTAAAATTTGGCAACGTAACCTTAATGAAACTTGTAGTACTAGTAGAGAGCTACACAAATACATAAAGAGTGTAAGAAATAAGGTTCATATAAGGAATATATGAATTATTATAAAAGATCTAGAGGTGCACGCTAAGTGCGCACCATCACTACTAGAAAAACAGCCTTTTACGACGCTCATTGCGCGTCGTAAAAGGCTTAGACGACGCGCAAATGCGCGTCAAGGAAGGCCCTGTCATAAAGAGAGACGGCGCGCTTTTGTGCGTCGTCTATAGACGACGCGCATTTATGACGCTCATTTACGATGCGCAATTACAACGTGCGTTTACGACATGCAATGTGTATCAAGGAAGGCCCTGTCATAAAGAAAGACAACACGCATTCGTGTGTCGTAACCTTACGATGCGTGTGTTAATGACACGCAATGCGTATCAAGAAAGCCCCTATCAAGAAAGGTCATGTCATAAATGAAGATGACACAAATTTTTATGTATCATAATTTTAAATGTTTAAAAAAAATTATTTATAGATTTACTAATTTTCAAATTAAATAATACATTAAAAATCTCATAATTCAAAATAAAATACCATAAATAACAAAGATAATTCATTTCACTAATATGTCAAATACAAATAATTATTCCAATAGTGAGTAAATGTTATAAAAAAATGAACTCATTTATATACAATTGCATTATCTAGCTTACTATATGCCAACAACTCTCTGTGTTTTTACTTTTGCTTGAGTCTCGTTTCCTCCAAAGCTTCTAGCCATGCCAAAATATGATATCTTAGGGTTCATGTCCAAATCAAGTAAAACATTGCTAGCTTAAATTCATCAAGTCATTGGCGTGAAGTCTTAGATAGTAGCTTAACTGCAATGTCCAATCCTTCTAGTAGACCTTAAAGATCATTATTGGCCATGTAGCAGGATCAACCTGCAATCTCTTTTCTGCCTTCTTATTACTTGCAACATCTTTTGCCTGTTTGACCAAGGTTGTTCCTTCAGCAGCAACATGCTGCATTGCGTCAAAAAGATAAAAACAGATGACAACAAATACAAATAACTACATTCTACTTAAAAAAATAGAATCCAACTCCTAAATCACAAACCTGTTTAAACATACTAGAGACAGGATCCAATCCATGGGGTATTTTTGGAAAATAGTCTGAACATTCTTGAAAAATCATCAACCTGCAAGTGAAGGGTAGAAAGGGAAGAAACAAATGTTCACAACCAGTAAGAAATCTAAACACTAGAAGTTTCACAGTGATTGTTGATTCCTATAAACTCAAATGTGAGATGAGAGGCTTGTTCACAACCAGTAAGAAATACTAAGTAGAAAGAAACAAATTGATGATATTGCCTGGTCAAGGAGGAAAACGACAAGAAATGGTACATAGAAAATATATATAAGTATGAACTGGGAAGTTACTAGGGTTTACATTTCAGGACTAAAGTTTCAAGCTTTATAGTTCTGTTCCTACTCAACACATCAAACATGGTTGACATGTTCTTATCAGTGTTTTTTTTCTCTTCTGTAACACTTGAAGCAAGCTACAAAAATCCAATAGAAAGTACACGTGTTTATATGATGATGTGAGTGAGGAGAGAAAAAGTGATATACCATTGTTTTTGGTTTCTTTGATTTGTGTGACCCTTGCACTTGAATCAAGAGATGCAAACACCAAGGCTCTGTATTACAAAAAAACAACAAGCTTTCTTATACAAAAAAAATACGGGTATGGAAAGGTTAAAGGTATGAAGTCTGAATTAAAGAATTTATAAAGAAAGAAAGAGAGGGAACCTTGAATCTTGTGAGAAGTCTAGGGTTGTAACAAGGCCAAGATGTGCTTTCTTCACTACACTATGCACCCTCAGATTCACCCTTCTACAATTCCATACGTTTTGTGAGAACATACCAATCCTTTCTAAAGAATGATCTCTTTCTTGTGTCCCTTACTGCATTTCAAAATACAAGATTGTAAGCCAAGCAGAGACAAGAGAGAGTATTAATATAAGTATTAACTTTTTACAAATGTGCCCTCATTTATTTATTTCCTTTTATATCCCCAAGTACACACATGGTGATTTTCTATTTTATTTTTATGAAAATCAAAGATTCAGATAAACCTGATACCACCACCACCTGCAGGACCGATTTTGTACAAAACAATGAAGTTTAGGTGAATTGAATGGCACGTTTCTCTTCATCAAATAATCCATTCATTCTCAATCGTATGTCTTAAGGCTGATTACCTTAAGGCTGTGAACTCCGATTACATAAGACATTACACACTTACTAGTACCTGGATGTACTTTTTCCATCACCTGATTAACGAAAATCATACTTAAAACTAAGACATTACACACTTACACACTTACAATGGTTGCAATGAAACATCTTGAAAATCTATCACCTGATTAACGAAAATCATACTTAAAACTAATTCTAATATCTTTGAACTTAGAGTGAATTACATTTTAGGTCTCTTGAGTATAGTTTATTTTTGAAATTTTGGTCCTAAAAAGTTTTTGTTCACTAACACCATCTAGAAGATATTGGTCGGCACCTCTAAGGAGATCATGGGCTATTCTCAAATCCACCTCCACTGATCCAGTGTAAATGCACCTCATCATTTTCTCAAATGTCTCCCAATATCTTTTTCATCTCTCTCCTAGAATGCAACCAAACCACCACATTCATCATCATCATTCATAAACATATATGATACTATATGTTTCTAGTTTGATACTAACCCTATAACCACCATCAAACATTGCCCGAAACGCATCAGAAGAAGCAAGCAGGTAGATTCTATGAGCATAAAACCTTTTGCCTGATATCATACCAAATAAATAAACTGCCAGCCACATCCGTTACTTAATTTTTACTTTTTTAAAAAACATATCATATATCATATGTGTACCCTCAATCATTAAAGTTACATTAGAAAGTGTAGGGTTGTTCACATACTGCTCACCCAAATATACCTGCAATGCAAAATTACAAATGCAACAACAATTATTACATCAACAAGTGTATGCTTGCTTGGAATTTATTAACTAAAAGAGTAAATTGCATTTTTTTTGTCTCAGCATGTAGCTGATTTTTTTTTTTAATTCCCAAAAACTTCTATTAGAATTTTGGTCCATACATGTTTCAAGTAAAATGACTTTCTAGGACCAAATATACAAAATTCAGCTACTCGTAGGGGCCAAAGATAGTCATTTACTTGGAACAGTAAGAACCACAAGCAAAGATCAAAATCGAAAGCTCAGGGGCCACATATATTATTTTTAATTATAATTTGCTGTTAATGAAATTTTGGAGATATTAGATTAACTATTTCAGACCATTGATGCAAATCTCAGCTGCCTTTCCTCAATCTGCCACTCCTTGATGATATCTGGTTGTCCATCCGATCAAACAGAGAGCGATACTGATGACAATTGACTTTTCAAATCATAAAAACAACATTGGAATCTAAATAACTATAAGAAAAATCATCAGACTGAATGGATGATGATGTAGGTTTGGATACATAAAGTCTATTTCTTTTCTGTTTTACCCTTACATACGAAAAAACAAATTTCACACGTGAGGGTGGAAAAAGGAAGGTTAAAGGGGTTGGTGTCTTAATACATTAACTTGGCTTAACACATGAGGCCATTTTGTCCATATTAAGTCAAACAGAAATAGCCCCTAAGTTTTAATATAACAAAAGCCATTAAACAACTACAAGTACCATAACAAAAAGTAGCATACCTTTTGTTCCATAACCTGCTGTAACCCTTAAAAGGCAACCAAGATCAATGCACCCATCAGCATCCATGCAATTGTAGCACCAACTCCTAGAAATATTTATTTATTAATCAGTAATCACACCTCTTTAATAAGTAGTGTGTAATCTACTAACGATGATATGCATATCCAGTAATCTGCTACAAAACTTCGTAACCACCCTGTAACAATTTTATAATCAGATCCCATAAAATCAAAATAAAAGACCACAAAAAGAAAATATTTTAAATACTTATTAATTATTTATCATTTACCTGAAGTATTACAGTCCAACAAGGAAAAAGAAGTCCACACTTTTGAGAAATCGCCTCATCCAGGTCTAGGACTCCCTGTTACAAACATTATATTTAACAAGTAAGGGCAAATTTGTAAAAAATCAGGGCCTATCAAATAAATGAATAAAAATTATAATTAGCATTGCTAGTCACATAACATAAACATCATAAGGTGAAACTATTAACAAATTTGGGTTTAGGGTTTTGATCAAAATTAAGATTGAGGAATTCAGAAAACTTGGCACATACCTGCTAAATCAGCCAGGAGAGCACGAGTGGGGCCCTGAAATTATTAAAATTGTTACTTGAATTTAAAATAATGGTTTAAAACACAAGTTTTTTTTTTAAATGATCTTTTTATAAATTGTTACATGAACGGTGTTATTAGCAAGATCCAACATCCAGAAACCTATGATGAAAACAAAAGTTGCCCTTGTTAGTGTACCTTAATTCATATGATAAATCTAAATCAAAAAGCTAAATCAAATACCATTATTGCTACTTTTGAGAATGGATCAGTGGAGGTGGATTTGAGAATAGCCTAGGATCTCCTTGGAGCTGCCGACCAATATCTTCTATAATGGGATAAAAGTGGTTTAAGAATCAAAATGCTTCTTTTGAGCTTTTGTTCACTAGCACAATTAGAACCTGAAGTTGTAATAAAATGACCTGCAATCAAATAAGTAAATCAAGAAATGAAACAATAAAAAGGATACTGAATAAAAATAAAAAATATATATATTGAATAAAAAGGACCAAATAACATGAGGAAGTAAGTCGATAATCAGAAAATGAATATTCTTTGTCACATATATTGAATAAAAATTAAAAATTTTGTTTTAAGCATTTTACCGAACAGTTGGTGTGCAATATATATATATATATATATATATATATATATATATATATATATATATATATATATATATATGTATATATTGGACATTACTGAAGTGGATTGACAAATAAATGAGAAAATATGACCATTTTTGTGTAAAGTGAGGACGTAACAAAAATGTGAAACTGCAACAGGTACTATTTGAACCTGGTGAACATGATAGAAGGCGTTATCCAAACAGCAACAGTAGTGGTGTGGTTGAATGCCGGCAATAAATAGTTCACTGAAAAAATTGGGTTGACTTTATCTCAGATGATTGTTAAACCCACTAGACCCTAAAGGAATTATCACAATGGAAAGAACATCAACAGATAATGTGTTTTTTCCCAATAAACCTTAAATAACACATATCTATATGGGTTTAGAGAAAGGATAACAATACCTGAAGAAAAAATGGAGAGCTTAAGAAGTTGACTTCCCATAAACAAACAGGTATCCCAATGAAGACCCTCCACTTGGTCATGCTCAAATCACTTATAGCCTAAAAAGTTAAAAAAAAAATGCCAGAAACTTGATAAAAGAAAGTCATAAAATTTGTCCTTGGATGTAAAAATTAACATCGCAGCTAGTCTTCAAAACAGGTATTTAGAAAAAAAAAATTAATTCCAATAGCCAGAAGTTATCCATATCTTCCTATGTGGTGAAGGGGAACACAACACCTATTTTCTACAAAATACGAATTAAAGTTACATACTCAATCAATAATTAAACTTTCCTAAGATGCATAGACCTTAAATTCATGATGGATAACACCAAAGTCATAATTCCTTTCACAAAAGTTGTCGAATTAAGAAAATTAGATAGGGTTTCATTTTGTGATTGGTATCCATTGAAGAAAATATAGGTACCTCTTCAGGATTGGGAACCATACCTTGATTTATGGAACAAAAAAAGTTGAAGCTTGATTGAGCGACAACAACCAAAAGTCCAAATCCTTAGAAGATGATGGTGTTGTTCTGGTGTTGAAGGTGGAAGTGGTTATCTGACGGTGGGCAAATCGAAACCCACTCTCGAACTCTCTCCTAATTTTAACGTGCCCTCAATAAAATAAAATAAAAAGCTTTAATGCTTCAAAATCGTAATTGTCACTCTACTTAAAAACCCTAAAAATTCCCATTGCCGATTTTTATAATGAAAATCTGAAGATGATCAGACGGGGTGGTTCAAAGGGATCAGGCGGTCGACTCATCCTCCCACCTTCATTCCTCCCCAATCAACCTTCGTCTGTAGTTAACTTCACCGGAGCAGCTATCTGCAAGATTTAAGGCATGAAATCGATCTTCATTGAGGTGAGACGGTGAGAAAGAAAATTTTAAGCCTGAGTTGCCAATAAAAAGATGGAAAATTGAGGTGCTTATCTGATGGAACTCCGTGTTGCTATAAAGAGACAATTGTTGTGATAATCAAAGATGGAGAGAAGAGGGTCGAAGGTACATGATAAGCAGAAATGAGATACTACAATCGATTTGAAGATGAAAATAATAGGGTGGAAGCTTGGCCGCTAGAGAAGTACCAGTGGTCAACGGAAAAGGTGAGGAACGAGATGTTGTATGAGACCGATAAGAAGGAGGTCAGGAGTAGCGGATAAGTGGATCGGAGAGGAGAGAGAAGGAGAGAGAGGGGAGAGTCGATTAGGAAGATGAAAGATAGAAAGAAGGTAGAAGGCGGGTTTTCAAAATTTTGGGGATTTCGTTTCCCCCTGTCTACTTCCTAAACGCGCGTTTCATTACAATTATAAAGCGACACTTATAGAGGGCGCGCATTTAAGATACAGCGCCCTCCGTGTTTTTAATTTTTTTTCTTATGATACTAATTTAAGGCCGCGCAATAATGCGTGATCTAAATCCTTAAATTTTTTGAAGAGATGTCACTTTTTTAATGTCACTCTCTTTTGCGTAACATAAATTAATGAGTGTCGTGGTTTGCGCGTCGTTAAAGGGCCTTTTACTTGTAGTGCATGCTCGACGTGCACGTCTGACACCCATATTCGTCGAGATTAAAGAGATGTGGACCATCAGAAGTGTGACACATGGAAAAGTCTGGATGGAGCCAGGAATCGAGTGCATGTCGTGCATGAAGTATGCCGCGTGCACAACCACTATAAATAGAGGTGCCCACTTTCTGATTTTCTAACACCTAGAAACTCTCTCTCTATCTCTTAAGTTGTTTTGGAAGTCCTCTCAATCGTATGAAGCTTCGGATGAAATAGCATGGATGCTTCAGGTTACACTACTAGAGTGAGTTTGTAGCCTCATTTTAATTATTTTAAATGTTTTACCCCCCCCCCCCCCGGGGGGGGGGGATACTTTCTTTTCCAAACTGCTTTATCTAAATATATTTATATGTATAAATATCAATCGTTTTATAAAGATTGAAACCTTAGAATCAACAAATTCTTAGGATAACATAGTACCTAGAATTAATACTCGACAAATATAGGGATATGCACTATACCTAAGCATTACTCTGCCCAAATATCCAATATTAAATAACCGTAATTAGGGTATACAAACACACAAGATAATTATGAGATCTAAAAGATATAATTATCAAATATAAAATTGAAGGAGTTTATATTATCATAGTTATAGGAAATCATTAAGAAAGATAAAAGATAAAAGATAAAATACCTAAGGTTAATGCATTAGTGAGCTGTTAATATTCATCCTAAGCCCGATTAGTTTCGGCTACCCCAAAGCCGTAATCGTAATCTCTCGGGAGCTAGGAATACATGTATAGATCTATACAAGGATTGATACCCCCACTTGTGATTGCTAGCAATAATCCCAGTAGGATAACTTTCTTATTAATCACTAGTCGACATTCGATGAAGCATCGTAGCAGGGTTATAACTAGTCAAACAGAGTCGATTATGGAAGTTCATGGTAATGCATTACAACCAACTTAGAGATATAACTACCAAGTGGGACATCTTAAAGTGGTAGATAAAATATGTTAGGAGTAGTAAACTATCCAAAAGATAGTATATTATGATTAATAAAATATCCTAAACGATAATAAGATAGGATAAGCAGACATCATACAAAGATAGTAAATTAGGAATTGTAAAGCATCCTTAAAGAAAATAAGATAGGATCGGTAGATATCATACAAAGATCGTAAATTAGAAATTATAAAGCATCCTATAGAGATAATAAGATAGGATTAGAAGAATGTCCTAAAGAGTTACTAATTCAAGTAACGTGATACAATAAATCATAGGAAATCAGGAATCTAAGAACCATAAAAATTTCTAGAATGTTCTCTAATAAGAGTTTATTATACGTTTAACTCAAAACCGATGCACTCGCTAACATTATGTTGACGTTTTCAAAATCGCATGTGTTCATATGATCGGTTAATTATCAAGTCAAGGAAGGATTTTTCAACTCAATGATATATGAGTTTTGTTCAATAGATAGTTGTGGTTTGTGCTCTTTCATTTGGGTAATCGATCTATCGTCACCACTCGACTTCGCCAGCGGCTGGGGATGTTGTGACATAATGGTATCAATGCTAGTTGCTATAGCAAATTAGTATTTTCATAGAAATTAGGACTATAGACTACGAAATATAATCTTATTAGATTTGCCCTCAAGCCGATAAATAAAAGTATTACTATTAATTATCCTACTGAAAGACTACTTATGAGATAGGTGAATAGTTTGAATTGGCACATGGGTTGCTATATTTTAGAACGTCTATAAGCTAAATTGGTGTTGCCCTCCGAGACTTATCATCTCGCCAATCCCTATCTTGGTAGTTTAGAAGTACAAAACGATAATAGCCTCCAATCATAAATATAGTATACAAATCAAAAATGCAATGTATGTAAGTCAATTACCTAAGTTACTTTAG